ATCCCAGCTTCTGTCATAAACTCTGACAGGGCTTAGCAGCATATCCCCGGATCAGCTAGCTGCACTAGGAGTCTGCTTACGAGGTGGGAACAGACGGAATGACTTATCATTGTAAACCCTGAGTTAGGTCTGGCACAGGGTACTGGCCTCCACATGTCTCTAAAAATGGGAATCAGTTCACAGGGTTTTGTTTGTTTGTGTTTTATAGATAAAATAAACCGAATTTTCATTTGTCAGCACTGATTTTATCTTATCTGAAGAACTCTCAACTGAAAATGCATATGTGATCAATTGTTTTAGATTTGAAGAAAGGGGGACAAGAGAGTAGTTCTCGTTAAAGCAAAAAAACAACCAAAAAAACAAAAAGGAAATGCTAATATTTAAAGCAAAGGCTACTTTTTTAAGTTTAGCATTTATTATTAGTATTTATTGGGGTAGGCTCTTTAATAGTAAAATATTAACTAGTCACAGAAGGACAAAATAAAACACTTGCTACACTCTGCTGGGCCTTCCTGTTATCTGTTTGATTTTGTGCTTTCTTTTGTTCTCTCAACCTGAAAGGCAATATACATGCTGTAAATCTTTCTAATTTACTAAATTCTAACAAAATTCCATAGATGTTTTTTTTTCTTTTTGAACCTGATAAACCCTTTTTACAAGAACAAATTACAGCTTTTTTAGATATGGGTGGGCTGTGCAAAAGATTTCTATCAATATTAGACTCTGTAGTAGGATCAAACCTTTGTCTAATTAAAAGACATCAACTAGCGACTTCTACTGTCATTTTTGGGGGACTGGTGGTTAGAGCAGAGAGGTTAGGTCCTGAGGTTGTGAGTTCAAAACCCAATCCAGCAGACTTCCACTCTGGGTACCTGAGCAAAGGGAAAGCACGGGGCCACGGCTACCATCACTGGGTCTGATTTGGTCGCTCCGTCCCATGCTGGCTCCCTCTCCCCATCTGCCGGAGTTTTTGGACCAGCCCCGGAACTGGCGAGTCGGTTCTGTTTCTTTGAAGTAGAACAAAATCCCGGACGGTTTTGTAATTCCCCCTGGACATTTTTTTATTTATGAAAAGTAGGACATGTCCTGGAATAAGCCGACATCTAGTCACTCTCTACCATATCAACAATTTCATGTTTCAGTGAGTGCTTGTTGCCATGATGCAGCTTTGCTCAGCAGCTTTGCATGTTGTGAACCAACCAATCAGCGCACAGCTCATCTAAATATTCACCAGCAACAAATACCCTATATAATCGTTCTATGACCCCTTTAAATGCAGACAGTTAAATTCATTAAGCTGTATTTGTGACAGTGTAATGGCAATAAAACAATGAAAAGAAAGTCAAATAAAATTTCAACTTATCACCATGACTTGCTACTATTTATGCAAACCAGCTTGTTCTCCTTATTGTGCAGCATTTCTTAAAGGTATTGTGGAGGATTTTCGGGAATTTTTAAAAGACCCGCCCTCTCCTTTAAAAAAAAATGCACATGCACCACATTCCAGAGAGGGAACGCCTATTGGAAAATAGTTTGCAAAACTTTACCTGCCGAGTAGAAACTTTGCAACCGATGCATCAGTGGGAAGCTTGACCAGTGCTTCAAGTGTACTCCATTGTGAGAAAGAACCTCTCAAAAACACTCTGGTCTTGTTTCTCTTATGACCCCCTGCCATTTTCAAAGAACCGTGGTTCAGAAAGGTGAGCTTCACGAACTGGCTGAAACCGTAGCTCACCACACATATACACCTGAACGTGAGCATTCGCACAATAGCATAGCTCCTAGTCAAAAGCCAGCCGAATGGCAGCCAATTTCCAGCCACTGGTGTGAACCCCTCCTTCTCCTGGGCATGCATATTTTTTTTACACTGACTCCACCCTTTCACTGAATTGCAGAGTCTGACCAAGAGATTAAACTTCTCTTTAGATGTTAATATCCACAAATCATGACAAAATATTTTAGTACAAAGATTGATGTTTAAAAGGGGACCAGTCAAGGGCCTATAAAGGAAAGTGTTAAATTTTTAAATGGCTACTACTGTAGGAGGGTCTTACGTAAACATATCACCAGAATGATTGACAATAAGGAGAACAAGTTATTTTGATGATCCAGCCGAAAAAAGAAAATCCTCCACTATATCTTTAAGATCTTCATATCAGGCTAAAAGGATAAAAAAAAATACTTTTACCACTTTTTCTTATTCTTAAGGTTGTGTAATTGCGTACTCCCTTCAGCCAGTGAAGGAAAGTGCTAAATAATGTTAAACTGTCTGACACAAGTTGGATGAACCCAGATTCAGTGTTTTCAAACCCCTCGAATGTCATTCAAGAGTTATGGTGGGGATTTTGTTTTTCACCCTTGTCCATCTTCCACCCTGCTAAGATTTGGGCATCTTGGATCTTTTCCTTTGAGAGAACATAAGAGACATGAAAGGCGCAATACAACATGTGATGTCTCATTGCAAATACTTCACACTGTTGTTTATTCTCCTGTCCTTCAGCTGTGCCTTTATTTGCTTCTGTCCTACCTTTATCTACTTCCTGTCTCTGCCGTCAGTGTATCATTTGTTCTCTAGATCTGCAAATTCCCCATTGTTTATCTTGAAGTCTTCTAATTAAGTTTGGTCGCACAGTTGAAATAAAAAGTGTCAGAAAACACTAACAAAATCTCATGTAGTTTGGTCTGTGAGTCCCAGGAAGCTGTCATGCAAAAGTGATGCAATGTGGAGTCATGATAAAAAAAAATTGTTGCTTATTAAACTCTCTCATCAGATGGACATTAAAACAAACAAACTTTTTGTTTCTATGCAGATAGGCTCAGCTTTTTGATAGGGTTCTCCTAATGAAATGAGGTAAAGCTTAGAAAACTTGGATTCTTCTTCTTGGTTTCCCTCTTCCTTTGTTGCGTTGACTCATTGTTCCTCTCACGGTTGCTGTCAGCACAGGAGACACGATCTGTTGGGAATGACCTGGCCTCTCCAATTACCCAGAAAACCCCAGATCAGAAAAATGATCCTCATTATTGATGTCTGACTCACAAGGGCCACTGTAGCAGGAGACAGGAGAGAAGGGCAGAAAGTGACAGAAGAAGGAAAAGGGTGAGGAGAGAATAAGCAGTAACATGAAAAGAGAAAATTGGATAGGTTTAGGCAAGATGGATAGACAGAGAGCAGTATCTGTGCAGCACAGGGATACTGAGAGAGGTACAGTAGCAGAGGGATAGTGTAGGCGAGTGGGAGGTGTGAATGCGTGTTGTGAAAAACTTGAAGGAACAGTGTCCAGAACAGATGGATGTACAGCGATGAAAAAGCAGACCCATATACTTGCAGCTTTAATTCTGATTCTAGAATTCCTTCATTGCTAAAAAAAAATACATGTGATTCACTTGACCAAAGAATGGTGTAGTCCATAGAAATACACATTTTAATAAAAATTAAGACAGTAAACAATTACAGACTTATTATTTTGGAACATCACTCGGTTTAACATCCATAATAAGTAGTTTTACCTCACAGAAAGAAGGTTTGTGATTTAAATCCTTTACCTTTCAACGCTATTGCTTGTTGTTGCAATTTTATTGTCCAGGAATATATGTTGACTTTATTAAATCATTGCCTTCCCTCTCTTCACTTTATTGAATATTATCAAACTTGCTTCTGCAGGTTTTTTGGGACAGCTAACCACATAAGTGTCTCATCTCAAACAAAACTTTTGATACAAGATATTTGCATATACTGTTTAAAATTAAATAAAAATGGAAATATATTCTCCCACAGCTAAGTGGTAGTTTTGATTACCACTGATATTTATATTTACTAAGATGGAAAAAAGATTGAATTATGTTGTTTTATAACTTTATTTAAACTCTATAGGATTGAATACTTAGGAAATCCCAGATGATGATGTAATGGATTCTTATTTGGTTTATTAAAAAAAATGTGGGTTACACACATTCCAGCAGACCCATTTTAAAACATTACCTTGAATGGATTGCTTGAGACCATATAAAATTAAATCAGGCAAGATGTTACAAAGACAAATGTGGAGGAAAAAAAAAAGACTTGTTCAAACGTGTGTGCACTACCCCAGGTTTCACTTAAACAGGTTGCTAATTGCTTTAGATATCCTGACTTGTGGAATATTTTCCTGCTCAATGATTAGCTGAGTTTAGAGTACTTTGAGATTTCTCCTATAATTCTTTCATCAGAATCATAAACTGCTACAGTCTTTTTATTGAAGGCTGGAGATTGCTCAAAGTGTTGTGCTTTACTTTCAGGAGTCTGGGGCAAAACAAACTAAATGTTATAAGATAAACAAGGCAAAGTATGTGTAAAAGTAAATTATGAAAAATGTCCAATCAGGTTTATCTTATCTACACCTAGGTGCAATATTAGGCAGACATACTGCAATGACACTACATTCTTCAGATCTGCATTGTAAATATGGAGTTGATTCAAGACATGAGAATTACTATTAATTGGTATATCTACATCTCTATATAGGTCTATTTGGATCATGACCCTGAATTTAAGCTATTTAATTGAGCTTCCTCCATTGGGGGGTTGTTTATAGTTCCCTTCTACTTCTGAATTGGAGTTCCCCTAGGGAAGCAGATGCTTTATGATTTATTCATAATGTCAGCCTTAAAATGTTAGTCTTTGTCAGCAGAATAGGAGCAGTGTGTTTACCATTATGTGTGTACTGCATATAGATTTCTTTCTGACCAAATATATTGTGATCAAACTTTTTGAAAGACCATGGGGTCACCGTTTTCCACCAGCCTTGTGTTTAAATGAATCCCTGCTCCAATAAGTCTGTATCACAGAAAATAATAGCAATTTCCATTCTTTGCCTTACCTATAATAAAGTGCTTACTGGTTGACTCGCCAGATATCATTAATTTATCTAAAAAGGGGCTTGTCACATAGTAAATGTTATATAATGTCACTGTGCACCATGCTCAAAGGAGGTATTTGACATTGTCCTTGTCTCTTCACACAGGCATGCGCATCCTGGTGACCCTACTGCTGGACACACTGCCCATGCTGGGTAATGTGCTTTTACTTTGCTTCTTTGTCTTCTTCATCTTTGGTATCGTTGGTGTCCAGCTGTGGAAAGGCCTACTCAGAAACCGCTGTTTCATTGAAGAAAACTTCTCCTTGTGAGTTTTACTTTGTATATTTGTTTTGTAAAGAGTAGTGTATCATATACTGCAGTGGGAACTTTTGGCAGTGGGACCTATATGAACTCAGGATTCTGCCAAAAGTCTGTGCACCGAATAAATACTCCTACGAGCAGGTTTACTTTATACATGCACTAATAAAGTAGTCCTCATGTGCATGTTTAGTATGTTGCATGTGCAAAAGGTCTACCATGGAGCTCAAATGTATCACACACGTGTCTATTCCTTCTTTGGGCACGTGTGGTTTGATATCCGTTTTGTAGATGTCCTATAACCCTTTTTAATGGACACCCTATGTCAGAATCCACTATTTATCCAGACCATGTTATATCTAATGATGCCTTTGCTTACCAACTTCCAACCCCTTTTGTACGTTCACACCTAAAGTGGCAGAGGCAGCAAAAGCAGCTAGTTTACATGCAAAGTCAATGGTTGATGGACATCAAGGTGCAGCAAAAGGTCCCGCAGCGCGTCTGAGCAGCTGAAGCAGCATGTCGTGAGCTTCTGAGCATCTGATCAGAAGCAGCAGAAGCTGGGGTTGGAAAAATTTAACTTTTGCTGCTCAATGTGCCACATCAAGCAATCAGAGAAGCTGATCTGGGGGCTGGGAGGGAGACAGACACATCGCTGATGATGCAGAGTGCTATGATCACTCCTCTGAAACTGTTTATTAAGACCTAAATTAACTTAAAATGCCAAAATCTGCCAGTAAAACATGTTAGCTTTTATTATCCTGGTGCCTGCAATTTGGATTACGTACACGAAAAACACCTTCCAGCCATAGGTATATGGGGTCTGGGTTGCTCCGACAGCTAAATAATATTTGAAGGCAGGATGGTAATCTTGATGAACTGACTACAAAGATGAAATTTTCAGGTGGACATTCTCACTTAAAAACATTTCAATCTGAAAAACTCACACGAAAAGACCATTAGGTAGATGAAGTTGGTCAGTCTGTAAACGGCTGGTTAGTGTGACAGTATGCTGAGCTTTATCGGGAGATCCAGTGAATTGCATGAGCTGATACTAGAGCTTTACTAAGGGACCTGGAAGATGGAAGTCCAGTTGGAAAACACATGTTGAGAGAACCTGTCCATGATGAGCAAGCAGGAAGCTAGTGGAGAGGAAAAACTCCCTGTTGGGAAGAAACCTCTGGCAGAACCAGGCTCAACATGGCAGTCTTCTGCCAGACCGGTTAAGATGAGAAAGGGAATGCAGAAAGAGTCCGGGAGGAATGAGACTCTGATGAAGTTTTAGCTACGATGGTGGAGGAGGGGCTGGAGGTTGGTTGAAACGGTATCATCTGAATAAAGTCACACAGCGCATCCGCCACCTGCGCACAGGAGCAGACAAGTGCGTATCGGAGGCCTTTTAAGATGAACTTTGGATGCTGATTGGCTTTCGTGGAGGTATGGTTCAAAGCTGATTGGCTGTGTTGCAGGTGGATGTAGGAAAGTAATGAGTTTCTTCAGTTGAACTCTCGTCTAGGCTCCATTAAAACTACTTTTTACCCCCTGATCACAGCAAATATAGCTGCCATTGTTACAGGCAAAGTATGCATAGAATAGCTCCGCCCAACATGCATCAGACCCACATTTTTAGTGTGCAGCTAGAGCAGCAAAGATGCTTAGCTGTGCATCAGAACTAAACTTGTACAAGCATAAAAAATTTAGCAGTACGTTCATTTTTGCTGCCTCTGCTGCTTTAGGTGTGAACGTAGCATGACAGAGATGCTGTCATGCTACATCAGAAATGCCTGATGGCTGAGGTTGCAACGCTAGTAGGTAGTAGAGTACAGCCTCAAGTGGTCGGATTTCCCGAAAAGTAGCCAATCACAGGCGGGTTGCTTTGTCAGATGTGACACTTTCAAGGTCACAAAAGATGACACAAGTGCACAGAAACAGGTCTACACATGAGTAGGTAGGAGGCTGCATGCGGGAGGAACAATAACTCCTGTGGGACATTCTTGGGCCCCATGGTACTCTATTTGCGCATCCAACATGTTAAACATGTGCATGAGGAAGAGGCAATGAGCATCTGTATGAAGTAAAGCTGCTTGTAGGAATATTTATTGCGTGTGTGGACTTTTGGCTGATCCTGACACCATAAAAAGATTTATAATATTTTCCATTCAATTGGAAAAGTGGATAAAAAGACTTCCACTGACTAATAATCTTTGCTGCAGCTATGCATTGCTAGTGCTTTACATGAGTGTGTTCTCCTTCTTCATTTTCAGACAATATTTTTTGTCACAGTAACTTAACATGTTGAATCTCAGTGGTGAAAGATAAAGTTGTATAACATTCCAAACAAATGCCTATTTTCATCCAGGAATAACAAATGTAAAGCTAGTTTTCAGTTAAACAGTGAAGCATTGATTGCAAATCTTATCGGAATTATTTATTGGAGCCACTATGCATTTAACACCTTAACCATCAACAATAAGAAGAGGAAACTTTATGCATATAGCAGCAAAATCACTGAGTGCTTCAAGAAACACTCCAAGCTCCATGGAGTGACACAGCAAAATTGAAAATAAAATGTAATAAAACATAAAACAAACCAATCAACGCCCAGCTAACCAAAGGCTTGAGTAAATAGAAAAGTTTGAAACTTAGGCCAAAAATCCAAACCCAGGAGGTTCAGGCATGCAAGAACCACATCAACTCAGTGAGAATAAACATCAAGTTAACAAAAGAAGCCACTAAATATAAAATGGTACTCTTTTTTGACCATACTTTGCATATTTATGACAATGGAACTTAATACTGAGGTTTACCGGAAATCAACACATGCAGACCAACATCTCTATTAGTCACACTCATATACAAGCCCATTGGAAAATCACCCATTGGAATACAAGCTTTTGTTATGAGAACTCTGAGTTACTGGGCTGACAGCATCCCCTCAGCCGCAAAGGAGAAATCCATCCAAGCTAAATAAATTTGAAGGAAGAACACACTCCGTCTAACACAGAAGAGAAAAGCAGAGGAATGCAAAACCATTGTAATTTAGGAGAATTTCAAATCAAACACTAAGGCAAAAAAAGTGGTTCATCTTAAAAACAGAACATCCAAAACAAAGCTGAACGGTTTTGTTTATGCAGTTCACTTGAGCTCGGACTGTTTGGACTCCAACATTAGAGAAACTGGGCAACTAACAATGAAAAGAGTGAGCAGCTCTGAGCGAAATTCACCTGCACACTTGCACCTAAAAGACACACCTTTGACATCCAAAATGTTTGAGAGAGAGAGGACAGGTGGTTTGAGAGGTGTGAAGGAAGCATCTTTGTTAAAAAGGAAATTAAATCAATGAAATGGGTGGGAAGTTGATTAGGCTTTCAGCTTCCAAGAATAGACAATTATATCTTGGAACCTAATCCAAAGAAAGTACACTAGCAGTCCCCTCATGATTCAAATGGATAAACACATAGTGGATACAACACATCAAACCACAAATGTCCAGGAGGACAGCAGTTACGTCAGTTGTATCTAACCTGGAATGTGCATAAATAAAAAGGCCTCCTCAGCGCTTCATCAGCATCCCAAATACTTGTTGCTGAATTGCAAGCTGATAGAACTGGCAAAGACCCCTTGAAATGTTTTCAGAAAAACTGTGAGGAAGTCAGGACTGTGGCAGGCCATTTTTACATTTATAACCTAGTGTCATGATCGGCAGGATTTCTAGCCCAAATCCAGAGCACACACACAGAGGCAGAGGAAAAAGTCCAAAGGTTTATTGATTACAGACAGGGTTGTTCCTGGAAGACAAAGAGGACAAACAGGTTAGATTCAGGTTCAGGTTCCAGGGGAAGTCAGAGAGTCAGACATGCAGGCTGGCTCAGGCTTGCAGACCAAAACTGGATCAACAAATCGGCTCAGAGTGAAGTTCTCTTCCAGCTTATGTAGGAACCTTAATGAGCTGATGGGGAACAGCTGCTACAGATGAGCACAAGCTCTCAGGAGAGGATCTACGGCGCCCTCTGGTGGGCAAGCCTCTAGATCCTGACAGACAGCAGAACCCCTCAGAAAGGGATCCACGTCGCCCTCTGGAGGGCAAACCTCTGGATCCCAACAGCTAGGATGATTATGTATTTAAATATCTCAAATGCATTTTTCCTAGCCAACATCAACATTTCAGTCATCTAAAATTACCTATCTGAAATGAGCATTTCAGATATCCTAAATGTCATTTTTGCTAGTACAAATGACGCCACGTTTCTCATCCATGTGTATCGGGCTTTTATTTCCAGATAATTGAAATAACATTCTTCCTATCAAAGTAAACCATCTGCATATCTAAAACAGTCCTGTTGACGATGAACTCTAATTTTAGATCTTTATAATTCAGTTCATACCAATCATGATGACTATTTCAGATATCAAAAAAGGATAAAACATTCTAGATATCCAAATATCCAATTCTGGCATACAAAAAAATATTGGTACTACTATAAATCTAGTTTAAGTTATCAACTACTAATTATATGACCAGCTAAATTGGAATTCTAGAGACGGTTAGGGTTACAGTAGAAAGCACTAAGCCATTATTCCTAGTCAGAATTGTAATTATAAGAAATTACCTCTTCAGAATATTTTTGAACAGCAACAAATTTTACAGTTGTACAAAAGCTAATTTTTGTCTACAGCTATCAACACCTGCAACAACTTGATGTGAAAAAAGCAAAACAAAATCCTTATGAGTTACTGCAACATTTATTTTTTCCCTCTGGGATTAAAAACATATTTTTTTTATTTGAATTGAAATGACCTCAACTGGTTTGAGTTATGTGGTATTACATTTTTACTAGTCAGAACACCATTTCAGATGTCTACAAATATTTACAAATTTTAAGTGGCTGTTTAACATACATAACATTTTGCTTGAATGGATATGTATTTCAGATATCTTTTATAGAATCCCCCCTATCTAAAATGAGCATTGCAGATCTCCAAAACTTATTTTACTCCTGTCTAAAGTATACATTCTTGATGTCTAAAAATGATTTCCGATCTCCATGATCCCATTATTACTGGTCATAATTTTTATTTCAGATATAGATAATCAATCTGAGACTCAATTTATAAAAAACCTCAGTTTTATTGTTTTTTTTGTAAGATTTTGGTTTCATTTCACCTTATAAATACATTTTGGCTTTAATTAAAAGTGTTTAACTCTGACTTTTTTAGGGATTTGTATAATTTTAAATTAATTGTAGATACAGTCGAAACCTTTGAAATCCCTGGACCCCATGAAATCTGTTATAAACCATTCAAACTTTAAAAAACCATGGGAACAGCTAGAGAAGAGACACTAAAGACATCTCAACATCACAGGAAATTCTTAAAACTTGCTGAAAATAATTAGAAACCACTTGAAATGCTGAAAATCCATGAAAATGCTAGTAAGCACTAGTGAAATTTCATTAGTTCAAAATACTTGGAAACATTAGAACCCAGTGACATTTCTTTCCCTTATGAAAATCACCCCACAGCAGGATGCTGCAGCCAACATTTTTTCACATAAATTCTGTGTTTACGATAAAATAGATATTTCCCCTCACATTTTACATATAGGCCTAAAACTTCAAACTTTATTTGGCCAAAATTCTTGCTTCAATATATCTCTTTTGCCCCATAAAAGTAAGTTTCTTGCATAATGGAGGAAAAAAAAATCAATGGGACAACTTTTTCTGAGGTACTGGATACATCTATGGCTTTATCGTGATTTTTATTGAAATCACCACCTAAAAGTAAGTCTGCACGATGTCAAAGTAACTCCAACCTTCTTTTAAACTGGGTCATGCACAATAGTCTGTGAGGATACTGACTCACTGCCTCATTTCAGTGATGAATGGACGAACAAGACAGGTTCTGGAATAGTAAAAAAGGCCCTGGATGGACTATGCTCCTGTATGTGGTACATCGGTTCCCATAACTTATTCATGTAGCCCAAGTCATCTCAGGATCATTACTCTCTATAGGATTGATGACACCTCACATCTGTAATTTAAGTTCATGCATTATGCCTTGGGGGAAGACATGATTTTTGTCATCATAGTCAGTTTTTGTGACTACGCAATGGTACCTGGAACGTTTGTGTTTTATAAATGGAAGACTGTTTAAGCTTTAGTCTCTACTAAAATAACTGTTTTAAACTCTTTAACAATTCACTTCATATCAGCGCAACATATTCTAAAACTTTAGCAATAGCTGTCAGACACATTTATAGCTTATTTTTCCAATCTGATTAGGAGCATTTGAGATTACTTCTGAAGATTTGCATCCCTTCTTGCTTCCCAGGCTGTGATAAATAGATGGTTTGCCTCACCGAACTCATCAGGCATAAAAGTGTTCTGGCAGATCACCTTAACGTGTGAAACAGCTTTTAAGAAAGAGAGTGAGAAGTGGTCCCAAAGTGAAAACAGATTGGTCTGGTCCCCCAAAAAGTGTGACTGTGCTTTGCAATTAATAAAGGCTGCCAGCTGAAGGGGTGCTGACAGATGAGCCAGATATAACACAAATGCCAGACACATTTCCTCTCTTCCAGATGGAAGAGTGCTATGTAACAGATATGCCAACAGGTGCCATGGCACCAAATATGTTTTTGGATTCAAATCCCTCAAAAGACATACGGGTCTCTGCAGGTACTTGGCCCTTTGAGTTAGCTTAGTCTAAAACTATAAACAGACAAATACAATAAAAGCTCTAATAAATTGTTGTTAAGAGCCACATTAGGACACATTGGGATACTATTACTAGCAACTATTGGAATGGTTTTGGACCAACAAAATATTCAAATTATTTCAAAATAGACTAAGCTTTTTGGAACTTCAGGTTTAAATACATTAATAGTGTGTATCAGAAATACTAAAATCAAACAGTTTCAGTAACACCTCAGAAAATATGACACTTATTTGCTATCAAATGTCCTACGTTGGGTGTATCAAATTGGCTATAAATGATAACTTTGCAACCACCCTGTTTTACTTTGAAGCTTATGAAAAGCTTTCAAGTTTAGATTTGAGTAATCTCTTTTTGCATCCTTTATGTGCTACTAGTTGGTAGCACACAGGATTCACTAAGGTTCTACTGATCAGCCTTCCTCTTTGGAAATTCTTTTTTTTTTTGCTATTATAAATCCATACTTATGGATTTTTTAAAACATGGTTCAACAAGAATCTTGTTTTTGTTTTAATTGTTAATCATATGATACATAAATGTATCGTAATTATTTCTTTTCAGTCTAAAGTATTTAACATTAACATTTAAATTTAGCAGACAACAGGCTGTTTACCGTTATTAGAGGCTATCGTTGGCAGGTTACTGTCAGCACAGTGTTTAGAAGTAATACATTTTTTGTTCTAAGAGTATCAATGAGATAGCAGATACCCAGTATTAAAAAAAGTATTTGCTCACCTGGCATTCCAATCACTTCAATGATCACAGGTGTACAAAGCTAAACACCTAGGCATGCAAACTGCTGTCACAAACATTTTTAAAATAATGAGTCACTTTTAGGGGGTCAGTGAATTCAAACAGGAACTGCAACAAATCTAGTTATGAACTGTCCACTCTCCTAAATATTGAGTGGCCTTCAGATTAGCTCAAGAACAGAGGGCTTCATGGAATGCGTTTCCCTCGTCAAACACCTGCATCCAAGCCATACTTTACTAAGTATAATGCAAAAAGTGGCATAAAATACACCACCACTGGACTCTAAAGTTGTGGAGATACCTTTTCTTGAGGTACAAATCATACTTCTCTATCTAGAAATCTGATGGCTGAGATTAGGTTTGGCGGTTGCCACAAGCACAGTACTTGTCTGACTGCATTTTTCCAACTATTAAATTTGGTGGAAGTGGAATATGGTGTAGTGTTGTTCATCAGGAGCTGGACTTGGCCCTTAGTTCAAATGAAAGGACCTCTGAATGCTTCAGCATTACAAGACGTTTTAGACAACCCAACTTTGTGGTTACAGTTTGGAGCTTCCTGCTTCAATATAACTATGCACCAAGCACAAAGCATTATCAGACATGGATGGTAGAGTTTAATGTGGATGAACTTGACTGTCCTGTACAGAGTACTGAGCTGAACCTGATAGAACACTTGTTGGATGAAATAGAGACTGAGAGTCAGGCCTTCTGATCCAACATAAGTGTGTGACATCACAAATGCATCTCTAGAAGAATGGTGAAATGTCTAACAACCTCCTAAACCTTGCGAATGTCCTTCCCAGAAAGATTATATGTGAGTCAAGGCAGGTGAGCAAATACTTTTGGCAATGTAGTATAAACTGAATTAAAGCTGGTTGTGGCTTATTCAATGCTAATAAAAATGAGTGTTTTAAAAATGTTTGTAAATTAGTTAAATTTGCACCTTGCATTAATTATGAAGCTACAGGCAGTATTGGAAGCTCAATTGCATTTATTTGAAGGAAAGCTGTAAAATTGTGTTAACTGGTGGATCACTTCTTGACATTGGGATTGTTGTAATAATTGTTTTCTTAATCTATACAACTTAATAACTACTTCATTGTTTTTAGAATAAGAGTATCAGACGAAGATGAACAGATTCACTTTTTTACCCAGTGTTACTTCACCAGAATAAAAACCCAACCGCATTAACGGCTGATAGTGATTTAGTTACACACAATACCTCAAAATGCTCTTAGAGTTTTATTTAAAATCACACGCTGCATTTCTACATCTCTCCTCACCATTTTTAAAATAATGCTTCTTTACCCCTAAGAACAAGGAACACATTAACAAGAAAATGTACCACAATTATTGTAACTTAAAAGATTTAGCACAGCAATCTTTTTTTTCTTTTCCACATTAATATAGATTCTCATCCAGATGTTAGATGGCAAAGTGCAATCCTAAAACTTTTCTAAAAGGCATTTTAACTAGTGTTGCGCCGATGCCATTTTTTTTGCCCCGATACTGATACCCGATACCTGGCTGTGCAGTATAGGCCGATACCGATACCATAATAATGTAAAATAATTGCCATCATGGCTTTATCAAGCTGCTGCCTACCTTTGTGAAGCAGGAAAAAATCTAATACAAAGTGAATCCAGTTGAACTTTTTATTGCCTACCAGGAGTGGATGACAATAGTTGAATAAACTTATAGCTCTCAAAATGGTATCGGTCCCCTATTTGTTGGTACTCGCCGATACCGATACCACCATTTTAGGGCAGTATCGGGGCCCCGTCCGATACTGGTATCGGTATCTGTTCAACACTAATTTTAACCTCTCTTATGTATTAAAAAACAGGGTAGTATTATTTCTTTGGTTGAATGATTATCGAAAGCCATATAAAACAACAGGACCTACAGTAAATACATATCAAATGACCTTTGCTGTGTTGTCTTATGTCAGTTCACACCTGTAAGTAACTTTCACAACATTTTCTCCTTTTTTGCTTGCACAGCCCTCTGTCCCTGAACCTTGGAAATTATTACCAAACAGAGAATGATGATGAGAACCCCTTTATCTGCTCTATGGAGGGACACAACGGCATGAGGGAGTGCGACTCAGTTCCCAAGCTGTACGAGGCAGGCCAGCAGTGCACGCTAAATATTGACTCCTACAACAGCACAGATAACACCACCTGTGTGAACTGGAACCAGTACTACACCAATTGCTCTGCTGGCGACATAAACCCCTTTAAAAATGCTATCAATTTTGACAACATCTTCTATGCGTGGATAGCCATCTTTCAGGTATGGTAGCTGCTAAAAGCTGAGAATCATAAATTAAAAACTTGACTTAGATAAGGAGTTTTTCTTTTTTAATTGCATGTTCTGCAGTAGTAAGCTTGGTTTTGCTGATAACAAGATCTGTATACAAAGCCTAATTGCTCAGTGGTTGGTGCATCAGAGTGTTGCATACTTAGCATTCTATTACCACACAAGACAGAAAACTCTATAATTATTTTCTATCCTATATCTTAAAGGCCTTTTGTTGGACTTGTATTCTGTTTAATCTGGCGCCACCAGGTTTATTTAAGAGGACAAAAGCCAGATCTAAGATCGCAGCAAAAGTCTGTGTTTTGTGTCAAACAGCGAAGTCCGACAAGCTTTGCACAAATGAGCATTAATTGTTAGTATTTGAATATGTGCAGGTACAAAGCTGAATGTGCTGAGAGCAAAATCTCACAAAAATCATCAAATGCACTAATCATGGAGGCTTAGATTTGCAGTCACACAGAAAAACACAAAAAAGTGGAATAACACACTTCAGGCCTTTCCAACTTCGATGTAATGTTCTTAAAACGTGTCCAAATAAGGCTCAGTATTGTGTGTGGCCTCCACTTGCCTGTATGACCTCCCTACAACACCTGGGCATGCTCCTCATGAGGTGGTTGATGGTCTCCAGCGAGCTGTCCTCCCAGACCTGGACCAAAGCATCCGCCAACTCCTGGATAGTGCAATGTGATGTTGGTAGATGGATCGAGACATGATGATATCCTCAATCAGATTCAGATCTGGGGAACATGTGGGACAGTCCAAAGCTGCAATGCATTCATCTTGCAAGAACTGCTGACAGATTCTAGCCATATGAGGTCTAGCCTTATCCTGCATTAGGAGGAAACCAGGGCCTACCGCACTAGCATATGGTCACACAAGTGATCACAGGATCTCATGCCAGTACCTAATGGCAGTCATGCTACCTCTGACCAGCACATGGAGGGTTGTACAGAACTCCAAAGAATTACCACCAAACACATTTCCGACCAACAGCCAAACGGGTCATGCTGAATGATGTCGGTGTCTACAGATTCTGTCATGTCTTTAACATGTGCACAGTGCAGTGTGAACCTGATCTCATCTGTGAAAGGCACAGGGCACCAGTGGCGAATTTCCAATCCTCGTGTTCTCTGGCAAATGCCAAGCATGGTGTGCATGGTGTTTGGTCTTTGAGCACAACCCCCGTCTGTGGATATCGGGCCCTCATGCCATCCTCATGGAGTTGGTTGCTAACTGATTGTACTGACACATGCAAATTTTTAGCCTGCTGGAGGTCATTTTGCAGGGCTCTGGCAGTGCTCCCCCTGTTACCCTTGCACAAAGATGGAGGTAGCAAGCCTTTTGCAGCAAACCCTCTTGCCATAGTTCGCATGTACCATCCTGGGTGAGCTGCACTACCTGAGACACATGTGAGGATTGGAGAGTTCCCCTCATGCTACCTTGAGTTTGAAAGCACCACCGACATTCAAAAGTGACCAAAATATCAGTCAGAAAGAATTCTGAGAAGTAGTCTGTGGTCCCCACCTGCAACCACTCCTTTAATGAGTGTGTCTTGTTAGTTTCCAATCATTTTCACCTGCACAACAGCATGTGAAATTGATTGTGAATCAGTTTTGCTTCCTAAAAGGAGAGTTTGATTTCATCAGAAATTTGATTTGAATAAAGTCGTATTGCAATTTTTTCTTGTTCGCTTTATTTTTTGAGCTGTCTATTTGTTCATGTCCTCTTAAGTTTTGTCCAAACTCTGATTGTTTTTTTTTTACTATTCTTTGCCTTGTTAGGTGATCACTTTGGAGGGTTGGGTGGACATCATGTACTTTGTCATGGATGCCCACTCTTTCTACAACTTCATCTACTTTATCCTACTTATTATTGTAAGTGCTCTTTCAACATTGCTCAAAACTTCACCTACTGTACAGTCTCATAATTCACAATACTTGCAGATTTTAGGTAGATTTGTTTGTTTGTAACAGTTTGGAGCACTGTTGCCTTGCAGCAAGAAGATTCTGGCTTGGGGTCTTTCTGCATGGAGAACCCATGCATGTTCTGCCTGTGCATGCATGGGTTCTCTGGGGTTAATCTGGCTTCCCCCACCAGTCCAAAAACATGACTGTTAAGTCATGTTTTTTGGACTTGTGTCTCTGTTGCCATGTGACAGACTGGTGACCGGTCCAGGGTGTACCCAGCCAGTCAGAGATAGGCACCAACACCACCGTGACCCTGATGGAATAAACAGGAGAAAACGGATGGATGGAATTTTATTTTTTATACAATGCATGGCACTACACCTATAGTCCTGAAATGCATGCTTCATTGATGAAGCAGGTATTACACAATGGGTAGTTTTACCATTTGAGAAAATAAAGAACTAGAACATTTTGGCAGCCTTTGCTATCATTGAAAAAAACAAACAAAAACAAAAACAAAAAAACATTCACTATATAAAAAAATTAAATGCAGAATATAATTCTGACAGTACTGAAAAACTTATGATTAATAATGACTCTGTGATAGTACTTATTATTTAACTTTGCAGTTAACAGATCATGGGACTCCCTGGTGGTTATAACAAACAATGTCAGAATAACAATGTAATTTACCTCTCTCTACTTTCAGATCGGCTCGTTTTTCATGATCAACCTGTGCCTAGTGGTTATCGCAACTCAGTTCTCAGAAACCAAGCAGAGGGAGAGCCAGCTGATGAAAGAGCAACGTGTGCGTCACATGTCTAATGCCAGCACTTTGGCTTCTCAGTCTGAGCCAGGCTCCTGCTATGATGAGCTACTGAAGTACCTGGTTCACGTCATCCAAAAGGGGGCCAGGCAAGTGGCTGGTGTTTGTAGGGTCTTGGCCCGCCATGCAGGATTTAAGATTCCCGCATCACAACCATCTTCAGAGGCACAGCATAACAAGAGTCTGAGAAGGAGAAGAAAATCATCCAGACAAGGATCAGTGTTGGTTCACCATCATCATCATCACCACCACAATCACTACCATCTAGGTAATGGTAGCATCTGGGAGGAAGGGAGCATGAGATGTATGGAGGGAAGGGACATTGAAGCTGGGCCTCCCAAAGCAACCACAAACATTATTCCACTGGGTGTGGTAGCACCATCATCTGTGATATCCACAACCTCTGACTCAAATCTCACTGTGTTGGGAGCTGCTGATTCATCCTCAGGCTGCTGTGTGCTCAACACAGAGGCCTCTCCCTGCACTTTGTTTTCCACCAACAATCCAGTAGCCTCCCTGGCTCCAACCGCATCATCCAGAGCCATGAAGAGGAACTCTGTACCATTTGCTGCTCCTGGGCCTAAGAACTACCCAACCCTACAGACCAGGATCCAGGCAGAGTCCAGGCGAGGGAGTGTTGCTGCCAGCATTCGATCAAATCTGAGTTGTAACCTGAATATCTATCCCATACATCTGGACAGACAGCAATCATGCAATCCATCAGGTAAACATACATATAACTAGGAATGCATTTTAAGGCTTTTGATTGACTCTTAAATACCCCATCTCCTGTGCTTTCTCTGTTGGAATTTATTTAAAAAATTGGATGGTTTAAAGGTTATTAAAAACTATTGTCAGTTTTACTTTTAAATCAGATAGTCTAGTGCCTTGTAGTGCAAGTATGAGCTGCAAAACATCATGTCGTCATACACTCAGATTAAGTTCTGAACAGGTTGAGGTAAGAGTGGTTCAAGTTGCACGGAGGGTGATTATATTTAATGACCTCCTGATTGGCTGCAGCATTGTTTGTGAGAGTGAGTTATTAGTCATGCAGTACACAGCTTCCATCTTCATCAAGCTTTCTCAAACACACAATGTCTACAAATGTCATCTTCAAACAGTCACAATTGTAAATTTCTTCCGCAATAGGATTTTATCTCATTTCTCATTTGGTTGCAGCTCAGATCTCCCGCCAGCTGTCAGCTCATGAGCTCATCACCATGGACGCAGCTCGTCTGACCATGGACCCCGAGACCTGTCCTGATTGCGCAAAGGCACTGGCCAATGAGTCTGAGGGCTTTACAGAGGGCAACGAGACACAAGGCGACTCAGACAGTGATGGGGTACATGAGTACGAGGACCTCCGCCACAGGAACAGGAGAGACAGTCGGCAGCCCAGAAAGAAAAGGCGGAGGTTGGGGAAGACAGCAGCAAAGGTCGTCCACTTTTGGAGGCTGGCGTGTGCCACCTTTAAGAAGATTGTGGATAGTGATTACTTTGGTCGAGGGATTATGATTGCCATTCTTATAAACACTCTGAGCATGGGGATCGAGTACCATCAGCAGGTAGAGTAACATTACTTTTATCTGCTCCATATCAAGAGTTTCTTTTTGATGGTTGAACAAAGCCTACACTAGGAATACTGACAATAGGCAGATGGATAGAATATAATAAAACACTTACGAAGGTTATTAGATTTGGGTTCTACCTTTTGTGTTGTATGTCCCATATGCAAAGTAATTTTTAATCTATACAACTTAAAATAAGTCTTCACTCACTCATCCTTATTTACACAAGCCTAATTACAGCCCTTTAAGAGAGAAATTTGAAAGAGAAAAGAATATTGAGCAAATTGTCTGAAATTACTTTTGTTGCTCTATTTTCTTTTTATAATTATCTGTACTATATTCTCTCATCTTAAGTTAAAGGTATAAAGAAATGTATCACCCAAAATAATTTTTAGAAAAGGGTTGTGGTGTGCTAATATGAGGTCTAAATGTGCCTTGTATGAGCAGATGGGCTGAAAATCAAAACATGTGTGTGAGATGAGCTCTAATGCGTTCATCTATCCAAGAGTCTAAAGTATCCGTTCTTCTTTCTTGGTCTGAATGTCAAGCAAAGCTACTATTAGCTTTCTTTGAACAATAAGAAGAAATATGGCCCATAAAACAACAATAATGTGCTTACAATACTTTTGGCAGTCTTCACTTGTTAGCATCTGTAAAGGACATAGCATATGTAGGTACAAAGCTTCTAAAGGTGTGGGTGAGCCCCCTAAATGAATGCTTTTATTAGTTTTCCAACTATAAAGCCAAAAGGACTGATTTTTCCCCCAATATGTCTGTGGCATAATGTAAATGCTGTTCAGTTTAGATACAAGAAGCTGTGGAAAAATGAAACAATATTCAGATTAAATATTTCTCATTCAAAGGAGCAGTAAGATTACCTTGCAATTTTTTCTTCTGTTTGTTTCTTTTGGTGTAGTTCTGAAGAATCTTATTTTATTCAACTTGGAGCTTCGATTTTGAAATTACTCTTTATGGTAAATTTTTGACCTACAATATAAATTTTGGCACATTTTAATATCTATGTAATTTAGTTTAATTGCATTTTTTATACTTTTTAAAATCAAAAGGCAAAGTTTATGATGTTGTAGCCGATAGTATTCAATATTCTCCTGTGGTGGATATTGTATAACAGTCTGATGAAGAGGTTGCTTAGACCAGGGTTCCTTTACCCTTGGTCCTAAGGGCCCAATGTCCTACATGTTTAGGAGGTAATTAACAGGCTTTTACAGCAACTGCCAGTGAAGGTTGTCAGTCATCCAGGTCATAGCCATTCCGAAAAAAAGAAATGAAAAAGAATTCAATGGACTTTGTTTCCAAGTTTAAAGATGTTTCGCTTCCCATCCAGGATTCAAAATATCAGGAATAGCATTGAGTTCGAGGTTTTATACAGTAGCCCAACAAGGCCTTGTTTTTGTTTTGAAAACCTGCAAATTGGAACAGACGAAGGGGCCCATCCCTTTGAAATAGGGGTAATTTTGGCTTCTTTTGTTAGCCTGCACGGCCAAAAATCCCCTTTAACGAACCACCTTTCAGACACTCAGATGGGTATGGGGCATTACAGGCAAACAAAAGAAGCCAAATGACCCCCCATTCCAAAGGGATGGACCCCTTCGTCTGGAACTTAATTAACGAATGGTTCAGACAGATGATCATTATTTCTAGGTCCTGCTGGTCACTCTGCCTCCCCTGCAAAGTGCCTACACTTTCTTTGATATTTGTTGGAACTGTTGGGTAGCTACAGCCTATGGCGACAGTGGGCCACTGTGACAGCAAATCCCATAATGCTTTTTGAGAAGAGCTCTCCACGCAAAGCATTCTGGGATATATCGGTTAATCTAGTCTCCATAGAGGATCACTACTTTTTAAGATGCATTTTAGGATGCATTTTTTGAGTCCAGTACTTTTTAAGGAGAGACTCATCTTAAACATGAAGGATAGTGGGCCCTGAGGACCAGGGTTAAGAACTCCTGGCTTAGACTGTATTATCGCTTCAGTGTGCCATCAGGATTGGCAAAGGCTTTGTAACAAGCCGTTCATTTGAGTCAGCTGTGTTGGAGCAGGGATTCATCTAAAACCTGCAGGACAGTAGATCTTTAGGACCACGGTAGGACACCATTGGTGTAGATGACGAGCCTTTAAAACAATGTCTGAAGGTGAACGTAGCTACAAGCCAATGTCCTTTTTTAACTCTTAAAAAAGTGTTTTATCAATCATCCCATGGCTTTGGCTGTTACAGTCTATGTTCCCTGAACTGTGTTGTTTTTTTTGTAAAGAACATGAAGAACCTTACTAAGTGCTTGTTCTAGAGTGGAGAACCACAATATGTTTAAGGCTGTAAGGTTGGGTTAGGATTTTGGCATGTCTGACCTCAAGTAAAGTTAGGTAAAATGATTGAAGCAAGTGAGAAAAGTGTTTGTTGTATTGTTTACAAGTGTTGTTGTGCATCAGAATCCTGGAGAAAGGCCAGGTTTTCTAAGGTTACCTTCGGTTCTTGACCCAGTGCCCATAAACACTTCCAGATGGAAAGCACTCCAGGAGCAGGTTTTATAGCCTACTAGTCATCAGCGTTCTTCCAACCCTTTTTTCCCTGACTCTTTTTAAAGTTCCTCCTTCAGCTGTATTTTTTTTCTCTTCTCTTTCTGCTTTTTCCTTCTAATGCTTGTGCTTCTTCTATTCACATATTCATATCTTTTACTCCTTTTTTTACCCCTTAAATCTTTTTAACATTTTTCATACGCTTGGTAATGACCTTTTTGTTAGATAGATTTACTAAAGCCATGGTGAATGATAAGAGAAACCATGAATGCCTTTCTGAAAATATATTCTATTATCGAATGAATGGAGCTTCACATCACAAGATTCAAACATGGAGGTCAGACTCTGCATTTCTTACCTGACAAACACAAACTCTACTGTAGCCTGCATAGCCATTTAGAAAAGTCTGTGCTTTTGTCATGCACAAGTATGTCAAGAAGACGGGTCATCATTGAAGGTGGATTCCAAAGTTTTGGCTGTTCTAAAAAGAAAGCTCCTATCTAATTTGCTTTGTATCTTCCTGTTTAGAACTGTACTTTCCTCACTGAGGTATAGCGACTTCAACTGGAAAGTTAGCTAAACTCTCCATCATTCATGAACATGAAAGATTTGTTCCATCTTCACATTGAAACCAAATAAGATTAAATTATGTTACGAGAGTTAAACTAAAACAGAATCACCAATAAAAAAATAAAATAAAAAAAATGGAATTACCTACACATGAAGTACCATTTACTGTGCTAATAAAGTTAAGTGCTTAGCTGACTGCTTATACCAGGCATGTCTGTAGTCTGTCCTTGAGGGCTGCTGTCCTGCAGGTTTTTTGAGGTTTTTATGCTTCTACAAAGCTGATTATGATAATTGGGGTTCAGCAAAAGCCTTTTTTTCAGCTATCAATGGAAATTGGCTGTGCTGAAGCAGGGAAACCTCTTAAACATGCAGGAAAGTGGTCCATGAGGACTGACTTTAGACATGCCTGGTTTATACAGTGGCTAGGAAGGCACGTAACATCTAGTTACAAAAATATGCTAAGGTTAGCATGTAAATAAAGCTTAATACACATTATTTAAAGCTAAACTATTACCTGAAAGGCATAACAAGAATCAGTTCCTACTATCTCTATGTTTTACATAAAACCATGTAACCTGGATGTCCACATCACAGATATTTTTTTAAGAAAACTATTTATTTATCAATGTTTTGGTCAAAGTCTACACCAAAATACACAATTTGTACATTCTACTGATTCCACAGCTCCTGAAAAGGAATAAACTTCTGGTAATTTAATTTAAACTTATCCTAAAATGTATTTATGTCCTTTGTTGCTCGTTTGTGTGCATGACACTGATCCATTCCTTTCCAGAGGGGCTGCTAAAATATTTAAAGTGAAACTTGACTGATCAACATCCAGTGGACATTCTCAGTCATCCAGGTCATGCACAAGCATTAAACAATTCAATCTAGGCAAATGGATGTGAAGTTTTTTAGAAGATGTTCACCTCTCATCTAAGAGGCTTCTTCAGCTCTAACTCATGGTGGGGAGCACTCAGATTAATATTATTCAATTAAGTTTTTTTCAATAATTATGCAGATTTACTTTTCCTGGGAATGTGCACAGGTAGGCTTTACTATAACTTATTGAAGTTAAGAGCATGTGTTGGATTTAATGTTGGATGTTTGTAAAAGCCTAGGGTAGGAGAAAAAGTAGGGGAAATTTACAACAAAAATAAAAAAATGTTGTCTCATGAGGCTGAATAATTTCAGAAAATAAACCAATGAAACAGTCTGGACAAAAAGGATGTTACCCTTAATATTTTGATGCAAAACCATTGAACTAATCACTGCAATCAAGTGATTCCTTTAACTTTTAAATTAGACTCTCAGTAGGTGGTTTGACCCATTCCTTTCCATTAAGCATGTTTGCTTCTTCCAAAGATGCTCGATAGGATTTAGGTCAAGGCTCATTTATTAATATTGAAATTATTAAAGCAGTTATAAGGAAAATACAGGTGTTTGCTCCTTGGGTTAAAACGTACTGAATTGGGATACATTTCAGTGCAACTGAGTGAGTTTTGTTTCTCGTTTGAAAAGGTTTGCATTTCTGCTGCACTTATCAATTTAATCCACTTCAGTTTATTTATATAGCGCCAATTCACAAAACCTGTTCTCTCAAGACACCTTTTAATTGAACTAGATCATACAATCAAATTGATTCAAAGTTTTCTCTCTAAGGAAAACTATAATATACTGTAGGAGTGACAAAGAATTAGGGGGGACATAAGATGGCTTTGATCCCTCCCACAGGATTGGCCAAGGAGGTCCCATTGGGGGTGTTAATGGTCGTTAGGGGGTTCTGATGGGTGGCTAACTCCCACATCATAGTGGTTTTGGTCATATGCCTCACTGTAGTGTATATCAGGTGAGGGCGGGTGGGAGATGAATCTTCTGGGTATTGTTCCTAA